CTGGAGTGGAGAATGCTTCCCCTCTTCCCACACCTGCCTCTACATCAACTGGACTCTTGTTTAATACAAGTGCACTACCCTGAATTGAACCATGTCATACCTGTTTGGTGACACAGAGTTGGAGAAGTGGCATTGGGACAGACACCACCTATTTGGTGTCATGAGGGGGGAAAAAACCCCTTGTCATCCTCAGAAGTGTTTCACCTTTGGGAGAAGATAAGGCTAGAAGAGACTCAAGTTGGCTATTTCCTTCCTCCCAGGTCAGATAGGCTCTGGGAAAATTCCAGTCAGTGACCGTCTTGTGAAATAGATTGTTTTGAGGTCAGGCCTTGTTAAGCGTAGAATATTCCAGACATACTTTTAAATGGCTACTTTTTTGTCTTTAATTTTGGAGACCGTGCTTTACCCTGGTACCTCAGTTCTGTGATGGAGGAGTTGTTGATTTCAAGTTTCTTGGCTTTTGTCTTCTGAGGACTGGAAGTCAGCTTCTAAGCTCCTTACATGTCCAACCAGAGACCGGAAGTCTCTGATTCCTCTTTTGATGTTTGACTGTTGACAGCTTTCAACCCTTCTCTCTCTCCTTCCTCCTCTTGTACCCCACATCTGTACAAGGGGACCAAACAGCCTGGGTGCTCCTTCTTTGGTTTTGGCAAATGATTCAATCCACTGCCTTGTCCCTGTACCCCAACTCTCATCCTAGCCCACCCCCAAACCCCAATAAAAACCTGGGCCAGGCTGCTTTTCTTGCTCTCTCCAGGCATTTCCCACCTGCTTGAGAGGCCTGCCCTGCCCTCCCTGGACGCTTGCATTATGGAAATAGAAACGCTTTCATACCCTGTAGGCATGTGCGTGTTGTTAGCGCAATCTAAACCAAATCTCGGGTTGGGGTCCCTTGCAGTTGACCCTAACAGTCATACAGTGGGTAACCTGCTGCATATTTTGCAGTCCTCCTTGCTTTCTTTTTCTATTGATAAATCCTCCAGATCTTTTGATATTGGTGATGCCATCCTTGTATGAGTCTCTTAGTGCAAATGCACAAAAAATTCTGTGGACATTGTTGAAAAATTCTTAGGCTGTAGATAGTGATGAGATCAAACTTATGGGGAATAGCAGTGGATTGAATCACTTGACCCTCCCAACATTCTTGCATCATTTATGGAATAACAGTTTTACAATACATGATGGTCTTCAACACTTGTGATTATTAAATTGATGAGTTTTTTTTCTATTCACATTTTTTTCTAATCACTGAAATGGGATCTACTGGACTTTTTTTTTTTTAAAGGAAAGACCTGTTTGTTTTTTTTTTTTAAAGATTTTATTTATTTATTTGAGAGAGAGTATGAGAGATAGAAAGCACGAGAGGGAAGAGGGTCAGAGGGAGAAGCAGACTCCCTGCTGAGCAGGAAGCCCGATGTGGGACTCGATCCCGGGACTCCAGGATCATGACCTGAGCTGAAGGCAGTCGTTTAACCAACTGAGCCACCCAGGCGCCCCTAAGATTTTATTCATTTATTAGAGCGAGAGAGCATGAGAGAGCACAAGCACGGGGAGCAGAGGGAGAGGGTGCACAAGCAGAGGAAGAGGGAGAAGCAGACTCCCCACTGAGCAGGGAGTCATTATGGGGCTCGATCTCAGGACCCTGAGATCATGACCTGAGCTGAAGGCAGCCCTTTAACCGACTGAGCCACCCAAGTGCCCCTCTACCGAACATTTTATTTCCCTATTATCTCATTATCTCATGATGGACATTTTTAATCTATGGTATTTCATCTTCTGTTCAGTATGTTTGACTTTTTTTCCTTTCAAATATGCATCTGTTCATTTTAACTCTGCCAGTTGACCTTTTATATTGCAGTTGTTGTTGATACTTTTCCTTGTCTTTAATTTTTTTTTTTAAAGATTTTATTTATTTATTTGACAGAGAGAGACATAGTGAGAGAGGGAACACAAGCACGGGGAGTGGGAGAGGGAGGAGCAGCCTTCCCACAGAGCAGGGAGCCCGATGCGGGGCCCGATCCCAGCACCCTGGGATCATGACCCGAGCCGAAGGCAGACGCTTAATGACTGAGCCACCCAGGCGCCCCTTAATTTTTTTTTTTTAAAGATTTTATTTATTTATTTATTTGACAGACCGAGAGATAGCAAGAGCAGGAACACAAGCAGAGGGAGTGGGAGAGGGAGAAGCAGGCTTCCCTGTGAGCAGGGAGCCCAATGCAGGGCTCGATCCCAGGACCCTGGGATCATTACCTGAGCAGAAGGCAGATGCTTAACGACTGAGCCACCCAGGCGCCCCTGTCTTTTAATTATTTTAATTTTAATAGAGTAGAATTTGCCTGTCTCTGATTTTATGGCTTAGTATTCCTGTGTCAATAAAATCTCTATCTTTGAATTCTAAAAGTTTCCTCGTTTTATCTTGCACGTTTAAATCTAGAATGAATTGGCTATTTTCCATGGAATATTGGGGGACTACAGTACATTTTTCCAAGTGATTAGCAGTGTATGCCTGCCCGTGTATGAAGTGTTTATGATATTTTCCACTTACCTTCAGTGACTGCTGTGTCCCTGACTTACTTTTCATATTAAATGCCAGCCTGTTGAAGGCACTTCCTATCCTTGTCTGTCTGCTTATCGCTCTGCTAGTTAGTACTGTATTGTCTGGAATAGTACAGCTTAAAAATCCTCGGTGTTTACGTGTTAGGTAGACTACCACCTTGTTCTTCAGAAGACTGTCCATTTCTTGACATTTGTTCTATCTATTGGGCTTGGAGGAGTACTTTTGTTGGCTGAAGAATCTGGGGGATTATGGAATTTTATAAAAATACTACTTGGGGGACGCCTGGGTGGCTCAGTCTGTTAAGTGTCTGCCATCGACTCAGGTATGACCCCAGGGTTCTGGGATCAAGTCCCACCTCGGGCTCCTTGCTCATCTGGGAGCCTGCTCTTCCCTCTGCCTGCCGCTTCCCTTGCTTGTACTCTCTTCTCTCTGACAAATAAATAAAATAAAATCTTTTTTTTTTAAAGATTTATTTATTTGAGAGAGCGAGAATGAGAGTACATGAGGTGGGGAGGGTTAGAGGGAGAAGCAGGCTCCTCGCTGAGCAGGGAGCCCGATGCGGGACTCGATCCCGGGACTCCAGGATCATGACCTGAGCTGAAAGCAGTCGCTTAACCAACTGAGCCACCCAGGCACCCTAAAATAAAATCTTTACAAAAAAAATACTGTTTGGGAGTGGTGAAGTCTGGGTGACACTGAGTGCTTGTTAAGAACAGTTGGCATCTGTTCACTTATTTTCTTCTACTTTGACATTAAGCAACAATTTTTACATTTTTCTATGAGGATCATTAAACAAGGATCATTAAACTGGCTTTAGTCTACTTTGGTGTGAGTAAATTAGTAACAAGCTTTCAAATGTCAATGTAATCACGTGGGATGGGCTCAGTTCTTCAAGCAACAAGTTGTGAGTACACATGTAAATTATTGTCTACTAGGGAAGCTTTGTAGAGATTCAGCGTCTGGAGTGTTTGTTGGGGGCTGGTCATGTCAACACTGTTTGCCAAACCTGTAACAAATTACAGACTCTAAAAAGGCAGATAGGAGTTTCATGTACGGACTCTGAAAAGGAAGATAGGAGTTTCATGTACCGTAGTGTTTGCATTAGCGCTTTAGGCACATGGAGGCACACTTATCTGTAGGGTTGGTGGGGTCAATCCCAAAATTCAGTTCCCAGATAGCAGCAAAGGATGAACTTTGTCATCCAGGATTTCTAAGGGTGAGCAATCTCAGGCCTGCTAATGTTCACTCTCTCCTCTACACTAGCTAATAGTACTTTTTATGAACATGCTCTACAGTTCCATTGTGGAAAGAGTTACTAGGACTGACCCAGGCAGCTCATTACTCCCTGGACCCACAACAAGAGAGGTGTTCCTTGTTTGCTGTCACTCTACTGAATAAGTCAATTCTAGCATTAGAATTGCTGGGTGGGAGCTTTTCTCTGTTCCCTAGGCATGGACATCATTGGATGATCTCTTTCAGGGACCAGCATTTAGGGGAATTAATCACTGAGGGATTCCTGTGCTTGGGATGGGCTGTCCTGCTGCCTTCCCAGCAGAGGAACTCAGAAATGAGTGAAGTTGGGAGGAAAGCCTCCAGAGTGGCTGGTTAGGTACACTTGCAACAGAAATCAGAAAAAAGGGATTTGGTGGGGTTTTTGGAGGAAAGCACTGTTGAACTGTGTTTCACATTATGTGCAAATTCACTATGAGTAGTAGTGTGGAATTCATTGAAGCCCCTTGGCAAATTCTATGCCTTAACATGTTCCTCAAGGTCACCAAGGCCCTGGTTACAGTAGTATGATTCTGTCAAAATCTCTTCTGGTATCTTATCAGTATGTGTGCCTTTGTGTCCTAAAAATTGGTGGGAGGCAACTCTGAGGCTCATGAATATATGGATTTGGGGGTTGTCTAAGTTGTCACACCTTTTCCTTAGTCTGAGTTGTATATTCTCAATATCTCCCTGGTCCATGAAATGAGACAGAGCATGGAAGGTAAAACTGATTTTTCATGTTTGGGGATGGGAATAGAAGAAAAGGCTTCCTTTTTTTTTTTGTCTATAAAACATCATGCACTTGTGACCCTGTGCTTCATGGAGTGCTGTGTGATGTTGTATTTAAGAAGGAGATGAAAGTTTTTCTCACAAGGAATTGATAGTCTTAAGATGGAAATATTTCTTTTATTTGCATAGCATTTCTCCAAGGGGTTCTGTTCCCTGACAGTAGAGAGACATGGACACTGGAGGTGATCACAATAAAAATGTGGCAAATTCCTGTGTTCATGATGTTGTTAAATTCATGAAGTGAGTGTGACCAGAGAGGAAGAGTCTGATGACCCAGTCATAGAATAAATGTTGAGAAATCAAAGTCCTATGTGAATTTCTTACGAATTGAGTAGAGATCTCCAGTGCTGTCTGTCTCACCCATCCTCCTGTACACATGCATGGGATGTTTCAGGACTCAGTGGCCTTTGAGGATGTGACTGTGAACTTCACCCTGGAGGAGTGGGCTCTTCTGAATCCATCCCAGAAGAAACTCTACAGAGATGTGATGCAGGAAACCCTCAGGAACCTGGCTTCAGTAGGTAAGGGTGACGACATTCTTACGAGTCCATTAGAGAACCAGTGTGATTTGCTCATCAGGGCTGTTTCGAGAGGTGAAATGTGGAAAGGGAATATGTTGATAAATAAATCAGCCATGGTGACCTCATGTTCATCATGGACCTAAAATCTAAAAGACTTTAATAATTCTTTTATAATTTATGATTTTTCCTGGTCTGCATTTTAGGAGAAAAATGGGAAGACCATAATAGTAGAAGTCTATATGAACATCATCAGACAGATCTAAGGTGAGTCCCACTCACGTAAGAACAGTGTCTCTGGGGGCACCTGGCTGGCTTAGATGGTAGAGCTTGTGACTCTTAATCTTAGGGTTGTGAGTTCAAGCCCAAAGTTGGGCGTGGAGTCTACTTAAAATTAAAAACAAACAGTTGTCCCATGAGAAAAATCTTTGTCATAATATTAAAAAAACAAAAAAAACAAATCAGACCATTTTTAAGTTTATTTATTTTTAGGTTTTTTTTCTTTTTTTTCTTTTTTTTTTTTAGATTTTATTTATTTGGCAGAGACAGAGCGAGAGAGGGACCACAAGCAGGGGGAGTGGGAGAGGGAGAAGCAGGCTTCCCGCTGAGCAGGGAGCCTGATGCGGGGCTTGATCCCAGGACCCCGGGAAAACGACCTGAGCCGAAGGCAGACGCTTAACAACTGAGCCACCCAGGCGCCCCAGGATTTTTTTTCATCAAAAGTTTTTTCTCTAATATGACATAGATGTTCAATGTTTGAAAAATAATAACATGTTCAAAAAGTATTCAGAAACCCCATTTATGATTATCCCTTTTGATCATAGCTGTGATCAACTTCTTGCAGAATGGTTAGCACATACTCACTTTCTTTTTTTTTTAATTTATTTATTTTAATTTATTTTTTTTAAAGATTTTATTTATTTTTCAACAGAGACGAGAGAGGGAACACAAGCAGGGGGAGTGGGAGAGGGAGAAGCAGGCTTCCCGCTGAGCAGGGAGCCCGATGTGGGACTCAATCCCAGGACCCTGGGATCATGACCTGAGCCAAAGGCAGATGCTTAACGACTGAGCCACCCAGGCGCCCACATACTCACTTTCAAACAATCTGAAAGCACAAAAAACATACACAATTTTTGAAAATGGTAAAAATGTCATTGAAATAACTTAATAAATATGAAATTATTAAGCCATTAATAACATGCTTCTCATTTTTACAGCAGGCCTGTGGTAGAGAGTCCCTGTAAAAATAAAGAAGGTAGTCCGTTTGGAGAATCCTTCAGCCAGAATCCAAATCATAAGCAGATAAAGAAAACTCCTACTGGAATAAAACTGCGTAAATGCAGTTTTTGTGGACAAGTGTTCAGGCATCATTCATCCTTTAGCAGGCATCTGATCTCTCACACTGGCCACAAACTATATGAGTATCAGGAATGTGAAGAGAAGCCTTACAAATGTAAGGAATGTGGGAAGGCCTTCAAGCATCGCCAGTCCATTCGAGTACACGTAAGGACTCACACTGGAGAGAAACCGTACAAATGCAAGCACTGTGGGAAGGCCTTCAAGCATTGCCAATCCATTCGAAAGCACGAGAGGATTCACACTGGAGAGAAACCCTACGAATGCAAACAATGTGGAGAAACATTCAGATATCGCCACAACTTTCAAAAACACGAGCGAACTCACACTGGAGAGCAGCCATACAGATGTAAGCACTGTGGCAAAGCCCTCAGTTGTCGCAGTTACTGTCGGATTCATGAAAGAACTCACACTGGAGAGAAACCGTATGAATGTAAGCAATGCGGGAAAGCCTTCAGTTACGCCAGTTACATTCGAATCCACGAGAGAACTCACACTGGAGAAAAGCCCTATGAATGCAAGAAGTGTGGGAAAGCCTTCAGTTGTCCGAATTATTTTCGAAAACACGAAAAGACTCACACTGGAGAGAAACCCTATGAATGTAAGCAGTGTGGCAAAGGCTTCAGTTGTCCCAGATCCTTTCGAAGTCATGAAAAGAGACACAGGGGTGAGAAGCCCTATGAATGTAAAATTTGTGGTAAAACCTACAGTTGTCCCATCTACTTTCGAAATCACGAAAGGAGACACAGTGGGGAAAAATCTTATGAATGTAAAATATGTGGCAAGTCCTTCAGTTGTCCAAAGTATTTTCGAAAACACGAAAGAAGTCACACCGGAGAGGAACCCTGCGAATGTAATGAATGTGAGAATACCTTGAGTCCTCTCACCATATTTCAAACACACGTGATGAAGCACAGCGAAGGTGGACCTTATAAGTGTAAGGAGTGTGGGAAAGTCTTTGATTGTCCCAGTAACTTTCGATGTCATGAAAAGATACACAGTGGAGAAAAGCCATACGAATGTAAGGAATGTGGCAAAGCTTTCAGTTCGCCCATGTCCCTTCAAAACCACGAAAGAAGTCACAGTAGGAAAAAACCTCATGAATGTAAGGAATGTGGTAAAGCCTTCAGTTTTCCCTGTTCCCTTCAAAAACATGAAAGAAGTCATACTGGGGAGAAACCGTATGAATGTAAGCAGTGTGGGAAAGCCTTCACTTATCTCAGTTCCATGCAAAAGCATGAACGAACTCATAGTGGAGAGAAACCTTATGAATGTAAGCAGTGTGGGAAAGCCTTCATTTATCTCAGTTCTATGCAAAAACACGAAAGAACTCATAGTGGAGAGAAACCCTATGAATGTGAGCAGTGTGGGAAAGCCTTCATTACTCTCTCAAACGTTCAGAGGCATATGATCAAGCACACTGGAGATGGACCTTGTAAGTGTAAGGAGTGTGGGAAGGCCTTCGATTGTCCTAGTTCATTGCGAACCCACGAACGTACTCACACTGGGGAGAAACCCTATCAGTGTAAACATTGTAGTAAAGCCTTCACTCGTTCTAGTTCTTTACGAAACCATGAAAGAACTCACAATGGAGAGTAGCCATGTGAATGTAAAGAATGTGGAAAATTCTTCATTCTAGTTCTTTCTGAATACAGGAAATAACTCACACTGGAGAGAAACCTTATGAACACAAACAATATGGTAAAGTCGTTACTCCCTGTGATGTTCATATACATGGAATTCATACCAGAGAGAAACTCTCAGTGTAGGGAAAGTCGTTCAAGCTTTCATTGAGGACACAAGAGAGTGCACATGGGGAGAAACCATATAAACGTAAAGAATCAGGGAAAGGCATCCATGCATTTCCATGGGAAGCTACAGAAGAACTTACACTGGAGAGAATTCTATTGAATGTAAACATTGTAGGACAATTCACTTGCCTCAACTTTTTACAAAACCATGTGAGAATGTATAATACCTTAATGAAAAGTAAGGGAAGCTTTTTAATTAAAAAATATTTTCAAAATAATTTGAAAACTGCACTGGAAAGAAACAATGTAAGTAATATAGGTAAGCCTGGTGCAAATTACTGTATATACTCCCCCAGATTCACAACATGAAAGAAATGTTACTAACGTTATACATATATTGTCTTCATCAGTGGCTTATTCTTTATTCTCCAGTTTTATTGAGAAAAGTTGACCTATTACTGCATAAGCTTAAGACATATAGCTTGATGGTTTGATTTACATATATTGTGAAAAAGTTACAGCGGCTCATTACCCAAGTGATTCTCTGTTTTGTGGATTGCTACTTAGTTTTGCAAGTAAACCTTGAGGTGGGAAAATATTGTAGGTACTCATTAAGCAGTGGTTTCTAAGTTTAATGGATAATTTTTCCCCCTCAGTAAAATGCTAGTGTTTCAATTTTGAAGACTCTTTCATCCACGGATGAACTGAAGTATATTTCTTAACATGCAAGTAGGTGTAATTTTTATATAATTTTTTCATTTTAAGGATAGGGCTGTTGAACAATGACATGTTATCCTTAAGAATAAACTGCCAATTATTTTACCAGCAAAAATGGGCTTATAGCAGAGAACTGCAATTCAGGACGAGGAAGCTACACAATGCTAAAGGCAATTCTGGAGAACAAAGGAGAGGAATGCTCTCCTATAAAAGAAAGCAGGGGACTTGGAAGGGGCTGTTACGAACAAAGCATTGGTTGGAATAAACTGGGAAGTTCAAAATGTAGTGGCTTCTCATTGGCTGAGTCGTGACTCATTGGCTGGGCTGTTGCTGGGTAAGGAGGAACCCTTTCTTCCTCCTGCTGGGATAACAAAGTAGTCACTAACGTGGTATTTCATGGCATGTCTCTTCCTGTTGAGTGTGCAACGAGAAGGAGTGGTAGGGCTGGGATCTTCCACTACTGAGTTCCTGATTCTGTTTTCAACAGGTTTCCTTTTGTTTTTACATTTCTTTTTTTGCTAATTAAGAATCAGGTTTTCCAGGGACATCTGGCTGGCTCAGTCAGTTAGGCGTCTGCCTTCGGCTCAGGTCATGATCAGGGGGTCCTGGGATTGAGTCCCGCATCAGGCTCCTTGCTCAGCGGGGAGCCTGCTCCTCCTCCTGCCTGCCGCTCCCTCTGCTTGTGTGTGCTCTCTCTCTCTTATAAAGAAATAAAATTTTTTTTAAGACTTTATTTATTTGTCAGAATGAGAGCTGAATTTGAGGGAAACTTTTGAGGCATTCCCCCTCTAAAGTCTGTTATCTTCTCAAGGTCAGAAGTGGTGGAGATCATCTTGGAGTGTTGAGCCAGCATCACCTTATTGGGTACATTGTTTTGTTTTTAAAGATTTTATTTATTTATTTGAGAGAGAGAGCCTGAGCAGGGGGAAGGGCAGAGGGAGAGAGAGACAGGCATACTCCCGGCTGAGCAGGGAGCCCAACGTGGGGCTCAGTCCCAGGACCCTGGGATCATGACCTGAGCTGAAGGCAGACGCCTAACCGACTGAGCCACCCAGGTGCCCCAGTAGGGGAGATTTTAGAAGTTCTGATAGGACTGAGTTGTTATTTGGCCCAAACCAGAGTTCTTTTAATCAGACCAACAATTACTAGATTTCTAATATCTTTTATTTCCTGGGGCCAATGTTAGGGTGTCTTTTTCTGATTATCATTTGGGAGAATATCCCTTTGGAGTATGACGGAGGTTTGGCTATTGAGTTCTTTGAGTCGCATTTTTTTTTTTTTTTTTTTTTGGTGGAAATATCAGTGAGGTGGTTTCCTTTGGCCTCCAGGGAATTGAATCTGGAATGCCTGGGAACATTAATAATAGCCAGAGCATCTGGTTAATATGTGACATCTAATAAATTTCGGGCATATGAGACATTTTTAATTTTGCTTTTTATTGGAGGGAAGGACACCTTGTTTTCATAATAGTGTGAGGTCATGAGCTACCCCAAGGGCATATTGACTATCAGTACAAGTGTTTGTGCTTTTTCCCTTGGATAATGTATAAATTGGTGTATGGGCTTACCTAACGCAACCTATTTGGCTGAAATAAAGGTGCTGCCTCAGGGACTTCAGAAGGAGTTGTAATAGCGTACCCAGCACAGTGGTTTTCATCTTTTAGATAGGAACCATCAATAAACCATAAAAAATCTGCATTAGTTAGAGGAGTTCGGTGTACATTTCCATGGGGAGTCAAAAGGTAATTTGTCAGCATTAAGCAGTCATGAGGGATTTTGTCTGGATCCAAATGTAGTTCTTGCCCTAAATATCAGATGCCCTAGGGGCATCTGGGTGGCTCAGTTGTTAAGCATCAGCTTTTGGCTCAGGTCATGATCCCAGGAGCCCCGCATTGGGTTCCCTGCTCTGCAGGAGGCCTGCCTCTCCCCTCTCCCACTCCCCCTGTTTGTGTTTCTGCTCTCACTGTCTCTGTCAAATAAATAAAATCCTAAAAAAAAAATACCAGATGCCCTAAATATCACACTTGAATGAGCAAACTGCAAGTTTTTTGGGAGACTTTGTCTCTTGAAGGCCAAAAATGTTTGTTTTTGTAAGGTTTTATTTATTTTAGAGAGAGACATGTGCGCACAAGCTGGGGGTAAGAGCAGAGGGGGAGGCGGACTCCTCACTGAGCAGGGAGGCAAATGCGGGTCTTGATCTGGGATCATGACCTGAGCCACCCAGGCGCCCTGAAGGCCAGAAGTTATGATGACGGATGCATGCTGTCTCTCCTGTGAAAGGGAAGCAGAGCAGCTAATCATCTACATCTGTAAGAAAGTAGAGCCTGCAGAAAAGTTAATATCCTCCGAATGAGCTTATAAGGTTTGTGAAAGGTTAAGAAAGACTATGAAACCTGAGGCATGACTGTCCAGGCGTATTTCAGTTCTCAAGTGAAAGTAAAAAAGATACTGGCTGTCTGTATCACCTGGAATACTAAAAGTGCACTGCATAGATGAATTCTAGTGAAAAATTAGCTTTCAGTGGAGAGGGCTGTATGGGAGTTAGAACAATGGGGGGCTGAGGGATACGATGTTACTGCTTGGGGGTCTTATACAAACCCTCATCTTTGCCCATTGGTTTTATTCACAGGTAAAGTAGAAATAGTACAGGAACCTGGTGCAGGGGATAATGAGGCCCTGGGCCTTGGTGATTGTTTTGGGCTTGATGCCTTGAAGGACTTCTTTATTTATAGGGTATTGATTAATTCTGGGGAGAGGTTTCGAGGATCTGTCTGGATTTTGATGGTAGGTGTACAGTGGATTCTACCAGTATCAGTTGAAGATGTGCCCATAAAAACAACGGTAGCAGTTCCAATAGGGACCAGTGATCAGTGTCTCCAGACTCAGCTCTGGTGCCTTCAGAGAGGGAGCAAATAAAAGGTGTTTAAAGGTCATTTAATTTGGGCACCTGGGTGGCTCAGTCGTTAAGCATCTGCCTTCGGCTCAGGTCATGATCCCAGGATCCTGGGATCGAGTCCCACATTGGGCTCCTTGCTCTGCGGGAGGCCTGCTTCTCCCTCTCCCGCTCCCCCTGCTTCTGTTCCCTCTCTGGCTGTGTCTCTCTCTGTTAAATAAATAAATAAAATCTGAAAAAAAAAAGATTTTTAAAAAAAGGTCATTTAATTCACCAGTTTAGCTGTTTTTGATTACTATAGTTAAGTTCTGGAATTACTTCCCCATCTGGGAGGAAGAAATGCAGGTGATACTTTTTTAAGAAATCTTGGCACAATATACAAATGGGAGCAAGGAACTCAGAAGGAAAGGGTGTGCATCTCTCAGAGGGCTAGAGAAAAGCGAATTCAGAGACAGGAGCCTGTTGAGGTTTATTAGATACCCTGTTGGCATTGTTTTAGTACTCTGAGGCAGGGGCTGCTTAATAGCAGCAGGCTTGAGTACTGAGAGTGTAGCTCCATTGTCCCAGGATCTGGAGAGAGATTTTTCCACGTCACTTAGAAGTGATTGGGAAGAGCTTTTTTTTTTTTTTTTTTAGATTTTATATATTTATTTGAGAGAGAGAGAATGGGAGATAGAGAGCATGAGAGGGAAGAGGGTCAGAGGGAGAAGCAGACTCCCTGCTGAGCAGGGAGCCCGATGTGGGACTCGATCCCAGGACTCCAGGATCATGACCTGAGCCGAAGGCAGTCGCCTAACCAACTGAGCCACCCAGGCGCCCCGGGAAGAGCTTTGATAACTTTTCAGAGCCCCGTCACAGGGAATTTGGAGCACACTGGAAAGACTGACTAGTGGCCTGGGAGCACCTGGAGCACTTATATCTATAACAATCTTTTTTTCTGTGACTGGGCTCTTTGCAATAATTGCAGAAACTAGAAGGTTTTGGTTTTGTTTAGGGGCCTTCATTTGCTGGACTTGACCACTGAGAATTTTACGGTCTTCCTTGTAGGTGAGTAGGTAGTAAGTGTGCTGATTTGTCAGATCTGGGGTGGACATAGTTTCCCATTCCATCGTGGTCCTTTTAACTAAAGGAGAAAGACCTGGTTGATAAACACAGAGTTAAGTGCTACCCTGGATTCAACATAAAAGATCAGGACTTTCAGAGAGTTTGTGCACATGTGTGGGGGAGGGGCAGAGGGAG